GTTAGAGGTGCAAATGTTGTAATGGACTTGTATGTCACTTTAGAAGAATTATACAATGGAAATTTTATAGAGGTAAAATTTTATAAATACAATATAACTTTTTTTTTGTAAATTTATATTGCTACATATATTTTAGATTACAAGAAATAAGATAGTTATGAAGGCAGCAAAAGGCACAAGAAAATGCAATTGTAGGCAAGAATTAGTTACTCGCAATGTAGGAAATAACAGATTCCACATGATACAACAATCGGTATGTTCAGAATGTCCAAATGTAAAGATGGTGAATGAGGAACGTACATTAGAGGTAGAAGTTGAACCAGGAATGGTAGATAATCAAGAAATTAAATTTACTGCTGAAGGGGAGCCACATCTCGATGCAGACCCAGGAGATTTGATATTAAAGTGAGTAGATATTTTTCTATATTTATAATTTCGCGACTATATATATGAGTCGAAGTATGTGATATAATCGAGAAGGGGACAACTTTATATTTCAAAACAAGTCGAGTAAACTTCTTTTTATGGCTTAACGTATTTTGCTATAGATCACTATGTTTTTTTCTATACATAATATTTCACTGTTTGTGTTTACTATCAGAATTAATTGTATTAGTTGTGTTTATTATTGTATATATTGTATTCTATTTTTGTTTGATATTAACTGTCAGTTTCTATCAAACAAGGACGAGTTTTAATCAAATGCATAAATATCTAATAGAATTCAAAGCCATTTATCTCGAAAATAGAATTTTCTATGAAAAAAATTTATTCCTTTTTAATATATTTTAAAGCATAGATTTACTCCATTCTCGGTTGTATAACATACTTTTTGACCCATCCTAATTAAGTTTAATGCAGTTATATTTATAATATATAACTATATTTATTATAGGATTCGAACTCAACCTCATCCTATTTTTGAAAGAAAAGGCGATGATTTGTACACAAATGTTACGATATCTTTGCAAGATGCTTTATTAGGTTTCACAGTAGACATAAAGCATCTAGATGGTCATATTGTAACTGTCCAACGGGACAAAATTACCAAGCATGGTACCCGTATTCAAAAAAAGAACGAAGGAATGCCTAATTATGATAATAACAGCCTTCATGGCAATTTGTACATTACTGTTGATGTTGCATTCCCTGATATCGTTTTTACAGAAGAACAAAAAGAAAGTGAGCTGAAACGCGCTATATTACATGCATCTTGAAATTTTGTATTACTACATAAATCACAATCATATTTTGTGTTTCAGATATAAAAGAGTTGTTGCAACAAAGTCCTGTGAACCGAATATACAATGGTATACATGGCAAAGAAATAATTAATATCTAATGCAATATATGTACAAATGAATATATATAATATGTGAGTACTTTGATTGGAATGTATGTCTTGATACGTATGTTTGTATAAAGGGGAAAGGGGAGGGTGATACTCTTCCTTTTTTATCAAAGAATACCACCTCAAATTGGTAATCCAGTTGAACTAGATAAATTGAATACATATATTCCATATAAATTTCATCTCGTTAGTATATATGTTTTACCTGGGTTAGTCCAAAGGACTGATTAAATCTGTTCTTGTCGTCAATTATTTAAATCAATATCAACGATAATTAAGCAATTTATTTAATATATAATTTAAGTTATTTTGTATTTAGTTATGAATCACATGAATAATGTATGAAAGATCTAAATATGTGTGATCAAATTTTATATTTAATGTCACGAAATGTCACGAAAAAAGGTGATTACATAGTAATATAAACATAGCTAATGTATACATCCGGCATGAGGACTTCCTTACGTAACGATCACAAAGAAATTCTGGACATAAACATCAGTAAAAGCGCGCGAAGATAATGATTATAGTGTCTCAAGATAAATGTAATAAACATGATACATTTGTAGCTAGTTTTTTATTTCACATATATCTATGTAATAAGTCGTAATATCTTGTATGTAAGCTATTATAGCAAAATTATACTCGATTATTAAAAAAAAGATCGATATTACTCTTCTCCCGTAATCAGAGAATCCAAGAAAGTCGAGCAGTTAAAAATAAATATGTAAAATATAAAATATATTTTAATATTGCATAAAATATATTAGCAGAGGGAATTGCTCATTTTTTCGATATAAAATTGGCGTTAGGAGCACGTTAGAAATCATTGCGTAATAATTAATTTTATTGCCGCGATCGCGTGGAAGAGAATGGTTTCGATGAAATACTCGTAAAGAGAATAGTAAAATATCTTTTATTTGTATATAGAAACGGCGAATTCTTTTGGTCGCTGAGAATTGTAGATCGCCGTAATAGGTCATTACATATTGGTTTACAGACGTTGAAAGTTTAAGAAACTGATGTAATATATGAGAGACAGTCAACATGACAAGTACAAATCATTTTGATACGAATTAATAGCGGTTGAGAAATGTATTTTCTCATCGAGCGTAGAATTGTCTGACTTTGCGACATCACGAGCAAGCAAGTGAACAAATAAGAAATTGCAATAAAGGTGGAGATGCGGAGCGAGGTGATCGCCCGCAAACGCCTCGTTAGACAATTCTGCATCAACATTTGTAGATATCTCTATTATTGTGCGTATATGATCAAATTAAATTAATCGATCAATTGGTGGAAGGTAGAAGAAAGTTTGTGGAAGGATATATGTGTAAATAAATATCAAATTGCGCTGGAATGTGTTTGCGATACGATAGAGACTTACGGTGTTCTCGAGAATACGAACTTTGAGCGATATCTTCATCAATATAACAATATTGTCTATCATCCATAGAAATTAGATAGAAGCGCAGAAATGTATTTTGCGAAATTAAATAGTTTGTCGCGAAACTCTCCAGCTATAATGGTCTCTTCAAAACGCTTCTGATCGAGTCTCCCGACTCTGATTTAAATTATCAGATACAAAAAAGATGATCGCGTCACTTTAACGATTGCGCCTAAAGACAGTAACAATACAGGCGCATGTTAAACTCATCAACGCAAGCACTCTGAGTACCGTAAGCGTTAAGTCTGCTGACCGAACCGACCAATTTGCGGCTATTGTCATCCGCCTTGTAACGCACCGTACCCTCGAAGATCGCGTCACCCGGCGTGGTCTGTATGGTCACCGTGTAATCCATCAGCTTCGCGCCATCCGTCTTGTCCAGCCATACCTTTGCGTCCTTGATCAGCTTCAAGTTCAACGTCGCGCACAGCGGATAGTTGCTCAGCATGTTGTTCAATTCTCTGACGAGGAACGACACGCTATCCTGAAGACCGGTGTCGTTCCAGGCGACGGCGTTGCTGGTGTGGCACATGCACCAGTGATTCGCTATGTGCGCCATTTCGCAGGTACGAATGTCCGGCACCGGCAGGAACCAACTGATGCCGCGCGGAATAGGCGACGCAGCCTGATCTTTGATGCGTCTCTTGAGATACGATTCGCGCAGAATATGCGGGCTTAGCAGATCCACCAAGGTTTCATGAAGGTCGAAGGGGGTCGTCAGGCTGTGGCTGTTCCTGCGCAAGTTTCCCCAAGCTAGCGGAAATTTCTCTCGCCACCACCTCGGCAGCACGATGAAGACGAACGGCAGACTATCCTCGATCTTACCTTGATACGTTTGCCGAAATTCGCCCCATCTCAACCCGTGATCGCTCATCATGATCAAGATAGTGCGATTCAACAGATCTTTTTGCGACACGTACTCGACGAAGTCGTGATACGAGTCGTCGCCCAACTGCGGATACGTGAAAAAGTCATGAGTGAGACTGGCCTGCCAGATGAAGGCAAAGTAAAGCTCCGAGGAGAACTCGTTCACCACTTTACGACTGTAATCCAGCAAGCAGTCGACCGTCTTTCTGGAACCGATACAGAGATTGGCGTTCATCTTCTGGGTATGGCCGATGTCCCTCTCGGCGCCGAAGATATACGGTCTAAGATAATAATCCGTCGGTTCCTCCCGAAATCCTGGTTTCAAATAATTAAATGTGGTCATGTGCCATGCGTCCTCGCCGAACACCGTGCGATAACCAGCGGCGCTGAAATTCTTCCACAATAGCGGACATTCGTCGAAGGTTTTCTTAGACGTTTGCCAACACAGTTTATGCAACTCGTCCTGATTCAGACCGCTCAGTACCGGGACGAGATTCGGGTACGTGTTATCGGCGACTTTGGTGTAACCCAGCATCTCCACGGCGCCGAGGGAGTGAAGCAGCTTCACGGTCTTTGGCATCATTCTATGAAAGTTCATCCTGGAAACCGAATCGAGCCCGATGACGAGAACGTTGAGACGATCGTCAAGGAGTTTGTCTTTACTCAGCGCCTGCTTGCATCTTTCCTCTACCAAAGGCTTGCGCGGTATAAAAACGTAGTAATCCTTATATATCACTTTGTTGTCGCGAGAACATTCAACCTTCACGAATTCGGCGTTTACGGTGCTGGAATTTTGGAATGGATAACACTGCTTATCATATCTGCAAATATGAAGATACATATTTTCATATTTTTGTTTCGGAAATTTGAAACAATTGAATTAGCATTATTTAAAATTTAGAAATAAGTTTAACTGAATCAAATTAATCTTCTTTCTCTATCTATGCTGTAAATAAAATTTATAATCTAAAAAAGAGTAACACAAAAAAATAATCTAATTGTTTTAAGGATTGTTTTTGCGTGAGTGGTTTAATATATGAAAGATAGTCGAAAATCGCAATTGATTCAGTTATAAAATTACACGAGAATCATATATTACTGTGTGTGTGTGTGTGTGTGTGTGTGTGTGTGTGTGTGTGTGTGTGTGTGTGTGTGTGTGTGTGTGTGTGTGTGTGTGTGTGTGTGTGTGTGTGTGTGTGTGTGTGTGTGTGTGTGTGTGTGTGTGTGTGTGTGTGTGTGTGTGTGTGTGTGTGTGTGTGTGTGTGTGTGTGTGTGTGTGTGTGTGTGTGTGTGTGTGTGTGTGTGTGTGTGTGTGTGTGTGTGTGTGTGTGTGTGTGTGTGTGTGTGTGTGTGTGTGTGTGTGTGTGTGTGTGTGTGTGTGTGTGTGTGTGTAAATGGACTGTTATACGCGTCGACCGATGTTATGTTGGGGTTGTTATTATTTAGGTCGCAAAGTGCCAAAGTGGCGCCAAATGTCGCGACGCTTCATCCCTTAACTATACATATATAGGGCAATGTATATATATAGTTTTCTCCCTCGCACGCAATCTTTCTCTTGCGATGTTTTGACAAATACGAGAACAAAGAAAAATATGACACTAGACAGACAGACAAACAAAATTATAAATGTGTATGTGCTCTATAATTGATTTGTTTCATGTAATAATAAAAAAAGATACAATTTTAATCGGATTATCAGAATTAAGAGGATGCCGGATAGAATACGAATATTAGTTAAAATGCAAAATATTTTTGTTGTTTATAGATATCAACAAATCCTTTTCCATAATTAAAGTATACATAATAACGGAGTGCGGGGTTTATGATTTCATATGAAAAGTGAAAAAAAATTTAAAAATTACAGTTTTGTTATCGGCTTCTGCCGTCAACATTTACTTAATATAAAAAACCTGCAACTTGCACGTGCCTAACAAGTGAACTCCGCACTCGGCATTTTATCAAAGAGTATTAGTGAACTTCGAGAAAGTGAGTTTAGAAGCTTTTTAAAAAAGATTTTACTATGCAACATTTTGCACACCGAAATGTTTCTTATTAGGCTTTCAAATACATTTTCAAACGTTTACTTATATTCCTTCATGCATTTCCGAGTGGAGAGGTATCCTATTTTGCACGTACACACCGCAAAACCCTTATATTAAGCAAATATATAATTATTATGGCCGGTAAAACAGGACGGTCCGGCATCCTCTTAAGGATTGTTTTTGCGTGAGTGGTTTAATATATAAAAGATAGTCGAAAATCGCAATTGATTCAGTTATAAAATTACACGAGAATCATATATTACCATGAATGAAAGTAAAATATTTTATTTTTTTAGACATTTTTGTGTAAAGAAGATATGAAAAGTATGAAAAAAATATAATTTATCGCAAATTATATTATAATTTCTAATTCCAATATCTTTAAATATATGATATCATATCTACAATTACACACATTTGTCATACAGTAGTGATATCTTATCTAACAATACGCTTTTATAGATATAGATTAGTGTGATTTTACATATGATTAATTCCATTTATAGCAATCCATTCACAAAATTTGAATTTAAATTTTATCTAATTTAAAGTTATCTGCTAAAAAGCAAGAAAGTATATGAATCAATTCTTGAGATAATAATACTTACGTGAGAGCATTGTCATTATTTTCCGTTCGCCAGAATGGTCGCCAGCAGCAACTGATATTGTGGAATTCGTTTGATGCCAGAGGATTAACAAACAACGCAGTATTATTCGACTCGATTAGCGGCAAAGATTTTCCGCACTCGAGCGATGGCTTAGTTATAAAAGGTCGTGTTGCAGGATCGAAAGGATCCATGGCGGGTAATCGGCATCCTTTGTTGCGAACTAGATAGCCACCACTGCCTATTGGCGTATAAACGCTCGGTGATAACGATACATATTCCTCTGTAAAAAAATTGCTAATTAGTAATTAAAATGAACGCATAAATACATATATAAGAGTGGTTCGAATATAAACGAGACTTTTGTTGCCACAATTTGTCAAAGAAAGATTTATATATACAACACGACATTAATTTTTTTCTGTCTATCGATATTTTTTACTAATTATTATTATATCGAATATTATATAAAAACTATTAATATTTCAATATTTTTGTTAAAGAAAAAGTATCACAAACTTCTTAATTCTTTTTACTTTAATTTTCAAATTTAATTCTTTTCAAATATACGTTGTCGTAAATATTGAAAAAGATGAATTATGCTGATTTTATAAAAAAAGAAGGTACGATAAAAATGGCACTATTTATGTATAAAATTTTTATGCATGATTTTCGTGACTTGTTTTTATTTAAGAACCATTTTTGTACGAAATGATAAACATGAATTGATAAAATCTAATCTAATACTCACGCGTTACTACATCTGGAGTATTTGGTTTGGCCATTGCTCCAAATCGGATGATCCGAAATGGACCGGTGTCGTAGCTGTTGATAATGAGAAGCGACATTAACAGAAAAACTAATAGCGCGATTAGCCATCTTCGTAGCCGTAGGCCTCCTTTCTGTATCCTGGTCTTGATTAATGCTGTGGTTGATCCACATTCATCGTCGATAGTTTTTTTGCCACTGCGAAACAGTGTCTGCCAAAGAAAGAGAAATATCTCTTGATATAATGAAACTCATCCAAAATTATCGAAACTGTTTATCATGATATGCATAATTAGCTGAGAGGATAGCTTGATAAACAGCATTAATATAAAAATACGAGAGAAAATCGACTTTTAGAAAGTTTTCTTACAAAAAGGCTGGATGATTTATCGCGATATTTCTCCGCGCGTATAAAATTTATATTGAAAACACCGAGAATAGCTCGATCAAAGTTACTTAGAGGCTATATATATACACATGTGTTTTAATAAAATTTAAATAAAATCAGAGATTACAGTTGCAAATTTCTGCAAAGAATTAAAATTTTACAATAAATTTTATTATAAATTAAAATTAAAATTGTTGAATTTGTTGTAAATTTGTTCACAATTTCATTGAAGAATAATTGCATTTCTGAACAGAGAAAATAAAAACTGAAACGAATTGTTATGACAAGAAATATATCGCCGAATGTCTCGTCTTACCTAAATAAAAAGTAAAATCATCTGTGAAACTTAATATCAATTGATGACATATTATGTAATCGTGCTTGATAAAAAAAAAGGAGAAATTTATTTAATTTATTAGCATATTCTATAAATAGAATATCAATTTTTATTATAAAACATAATGCTCCTGCTAAGTGTTCACGGTTGAAAGGAACTCATTATGCAATCACGCGGCATGGGTATATTAGAAGAATTATTTACGTGTTTTGGAGCAAAAAAAAAAAAAACAGATTTACCTCCTCGAGAGATTGATGTTCACGCATAACAGAGCGGTTGCAAACATCAAACACTTTCGTAGGTGCAAGGTTGAAGTGCACTATCAGTACATACATTATGTCTAGTGCATTTGTTTCTATGATAAGATAGGACCGATATCATGCTGATATCGACATCACATTTGTAGTGAATATATGTTTAGCTGATTAGATTAGATCGAATCCTGCGGATTGCTTAAAATATGCATATTATCTCGTTTACATTTAATATACAAAAGGAGAGAATGCGTTATTAATTATATTCTCTTATGTTATATTCTTCGCTCGTCATTACTGTATCGAAATTTTCTCACAAAGAGCAGCGGCTTACGAGATAAAATTATATTGAGCAGAATCTCTTGGTCCTTTGATTTTGCATCATTCTTCGCAAAGAGATCAAGTCTTTTTTTTATCGGTCCTTATGTATACCGTTCTTGTATCATTCCTTAGACGCAATTATTCATCACGAAGCTCGCCATCATAATTCGCGTTAAGAAGCGCATCGAACAAATGGATCGAACGTAGAGCAATATTTATGGAAGTTAGCCCGTCGTGTGATGCGTATATTGTAACGCAAAATGCGCAAACGTATTTATTCGGGTATCGAAGCGGATTCTTTCGCTTAGTGATTGTCTATGTAAATATGAGCTCGATAAACAAATAGTCGCGTTTATTGTTCTTTTTCTTTCCCCTTCTCCTTTAAACTCCCGGTCACATTAAACTCACGTTTCTTCTACGAGGTCGTGATATGTTCGTGTGGTCCATGAATTTTCTGCTAATGATGATTACGAGATCATGAGATAATACAAGTGTTTCGCAATGTTATCCAGCCTCTCTCGCTGACGTTCGCCTGTTTAGTTGTAGCATGGACCTGGAAGACTTGTGGAACGTTAACTGTGAACTACCACTATCATTCTGTTGGCATATATAATAATCGTGTCGTATGCAAATGTTTAAGGGGCGTTTCGGTTTAATCACGATTCGTTCCTATTTCTCGATTCGGTACGTATGTTACAAACGATAAGTCTCGGTATTAGGCTGCTCTTCTCTGAGATGAGTTCTGATTCTTGTTTATTATTCAAATCGATTATTGTGCGACATGCTATCTGATCGAACTTGTTCGCATCTAGCGCTTCGTCATCTACTTCTCCATCAGAACTATCTTTTTTAGAGATATATTGATTTTTCCGTCGATATGTGTTTATTAATTAGATAATTAAGATGGCCGTTCGCAGGCAGATATCGGATTCATCGCTATAACTTTTTATAATGACAATTAACTGATTGCAGCGCACATGGATTATTCACGTGATAATCTACGGATGGAGCCTCGGCATCAGCTCTCTTCTGTCCCCTTTTTCTATCGTATCTACATGTAGCGTTTCATTCATTTTCTTTCTACATCTGCTCGGTTGCGTATTATGTTCAACGGCGTACGCATCTTCAGGGGATGTGTATTCACCGATTGTATTCCTGAAACAATCATCGGCACGGTTAATCACGTTATATTCTGGACACGTGTTCCTTCTGCGGCAGATGATTGAGCTATAGATAATTTTTTGATTAGAACAAATATATATTTTACTTACGAATTCTTAAATTAATTAAACTATTTGAGCTATTTAAAATCGATCCTTTTATTTAACAAAAATTGCAAATAATCAAATTTATTCTATATTTAATTTCAGGTAGCCACACAATTTAACATAGAGAATTTTAATTTACTTAATTATTAATCTAATTTTATTTAATTACAGTAATATCTATTTATTGGAAGATGAAAAAATGTGAAAAAATAATGGTATATCCAAATCATTATTTTTACACGCTAAGCAGAGTCGATACCATATTGAAACAACAGGATTTATAAGTAAAACTTTATTATCGTTATTTCTGAAAATGTTGTATATCTTTATTTTATTTTTCCATTTGAAATATCTAGAATTTCAATCTTTCTTTATAAGTGATTTACTTGTCTATATTAAGCAATATACTCTAAAAATTGACAATAACTATAAACTCAGATCTTGTAACATAAATTAATCTAGAGAAGAATATTTTTGTAAGAATTTATTTAATATTCTCATTTCTTTTTATTCCATTTTAAAATAAGGTCAACTTGTATGCAATTTTTTTTATACGAGAATTCCGGAGCGATTTATTTATTAATTCGTTGTTAATTCGTGCGATTAACATTGAAATTGTCGGACGGAATCTGAAGTAAAATATACATACATTCGGTCCAGCCTTCCGTCTTGGCGCATGTGAATTTGGAGGAATGAAACTCTCAAACAGCTGTTTTTACCTATCCACTGTAGTTTTGTGGATAGAACATGCGGTATGGCTGAGAGCGTGATGTATTATTTACAAATCGGAGTGATTTATCACTCTTTCAGAGGCAACACCAAGATAACAAGCTCTAAAATCCCCTCTCATAGTGCAATTTCAAGTTCCAGCGGCAAAATATTGTTGCACTCCGTCTGTGTTAAATATCTATCTTTTCTCTTCAGCTAATATCCTTCGATCGCGTTCATTCTATATAGAATCCCATCTCTCACCGGAAGAGGAATAAATCGGGTGCAGACTCTTTGCCTACTGGTGGAAGAGAGTGCACTGATCGGCTACCGTTCCGTCGACCTCACCCCCATCGTCATCTTCGGCGCCGATGCTCTTGGTCTGTCATCAGCAGCGGGTGGAGCGTTCGCGCACACGTTCGACGACCGATCCTCGGAGATGAGCCAACACGGCAGGCGTTGCCGCGTCCCGGTGAGCAGGGATTTCACCGAAAGTGCGTGCGGGCGCCGCGACCGCCCGAGACTGGGCGAGACGCGATGAGACGAGAAGGAGGTCCAGGAGGTCCCTCCGGTCGATAGCGAAGCGCGCGCGCTTCTCCGGCGACAAGCGAGTCTGAAGACCAGCGCGCACGGTGGGCTAGAATTGCACGAGCCAAAATGGAACAAAATTATTTTATTTGCGATATGAGGAATATACAATATACAGGGTGTTGCAGGTCAGATCAATGAAACTTCAGGATCTTATAGGAAATTGAATTTGGAACAAAAAAGTTCCTATAAACATAGGTCCGAAAACGCTTCGTTAAAAAGTTATAGCTAATAAACTTTGAAAAATCACGTTTTTTTGATGATTTTTAAAAATAATTTCAAAACCCTTTATTCATTTCAAAACGTAACGAAATAAATCTGATGGGTAATTAAATAAGAAACTAAATTAAGCGTTAAAAGAAACTTAAACTTAAAAGAAAATAAGCGGTGCCTAAGAAATTATATTGCATTCATTAATTCAAAATACATTAATACTAACATATGTTATTTTTACACGTGTATGTATGTTACGTATTAATTCATACTTCCCTACAATCTGACTTTTCTCCCTGCACGTACTTCCTGATTTCACATAAGGCGCACATAAAATCAATATTAAAGCATTATTTCGTTTTTTTCCATTCTCGAACCGTAATTACAAGATTGTTAAGAAAGAAGCATTTAAAACTGTTTTTAGTGAGTTTTTTTAGAATAGAAAATATTTTTAATATTATGCACACAACACAAACATATATATTTACCCTTCTTATGTATAGTTTTGTATTTCTCATAAATAGCTTAAAAAACTCTTAGAACTAATGCAATTTTAAGCAAAATTTACTTAGCGCACTTACCAAGCTTTAAAATATATTATTCTTTCCCTCCAAAAAAAAAGATAAAAAAAAAAACAAGCGCTCTCACTTTCACTTTCACTTTAATTTAATAGTACAAGATGATGATTGTTTTAATCTGTAAATATCACTGTTCATATTTTGTTCTTCTTTCATCACGTGTAATTTTATATTATTTTATTAACTGTTATTTTATTAACTGAATAAAATTCGATATAGAAAGATTGAACTTTAAATTTTAATAAAATAAATTATTACTTGACCAATTTGGAAAGATTGGATAGCTCAAATAGTTCAAACATCGAAGAGAATTCGAGCGAAAATCGCAAACTGGAGTAATCAATTTTGTTCATCTTTTTTTTTAAAGTGTTGCCAAATTTTATCTTACTACTTTTTATCCGTTTAGATACATTAGGCCCGAAAGATCCAAATAATGCAAAGCTTCAAGCGTTCGTATTGTTCTATCACCAGAAAATTTCGAGCACTACTGTGCGGCAAGAGACTCGATTACTGTATACGTTTCGTTTCTCTTAGTGCCGATTTACGGTTGTCGTTTATCGACGATCGACGTGGCCAGCATTGCCTAATTGTGTCGCGATATCTATGTGTTACAGCTGGATTCGTTTTACGCAAAGTCGATTACGAGACTCGATATTTAAATCAAATCTTAATTGCGTTATTTTGATATAATAAGACGGAGGAAAATAAAAAATATTCTAAGACAAATTTTTTTTGTATTTTTTTGTATTATATTATACAATATATCTTAAGTCTAAATGATAAGTACTAATATATATAGTCTTATAACAATTTTACACATGAAAATCATCGATAGAATTATCGTATTATAATTTGCGTAATTGTGGTAGCAATTTTTCAAAACACATTTCATTTGTAGATTATTTTTTTATATTTTCTTAATTATATATTATAATTATACATTTATTCCAAAAATTTGAATTTTTCTGGATCTTATGTATACAAGTGTTTTAAAATATACATACATCTCGATCTTGTGTATATATTACGAGCATTGCATCCATAAAAGTTATCGTTTCATTAAATACGATTGATAAATCGAGAGCAATTATAAACGGACCAAACAATAAGCGATTTGATAATATTGATGTTAACCGTAAGCAGTAAAAATTCTGACGCTACAGTTTCATGTCAAAAGATAAAGTTGAGATTGTAACGACGTAACGCAAAACAATCTTATGATAAATTTATACAATGAATAAAAAAATTAACACGGGTTTATAAATTTAATTTGCATAAATAGATAAATTTTAAATCAAATAATAAATTAAAACTCTTACACATTTTTTATTCGATATTTCAAACTGTAATGTCAAATATATTTGAATTATATCTATGAGAAAGAGAGAGAGAGAGAGGAGGGGGGAGAGAGAGAATACTTATAATTGTTGTAAAAAGATTTGTATATTATCATTTATACAATATGGAGTACAATATGGTATAACTTGTAATATATTATTAAATAAAACGTTAATTATATATATAAATATACAATGACAGATTATGGTTCAATGCGAGTATTTTTATATTATATAAAATGACGAAATCGCAAAATCGAGTGTTAATATAAGCTCCGTCACTTATCAATCATTTAATAAGTAATTAATAATCTATATTTTAAAATGCATGAAGGCACTTTAAATGCAAAATTAGTTTGCATTACTAATAATTAGAACTCTATAGAAATCGAAAGAATACGATTAAAACTATAAGAAAATAAAATAATTATAATATAGAATAGATTGCGCCGCGTTTCGGAAATCACAATATTATATTTATAGAAGTCTATGGTAGCACTCCGTAAGATATAAAAAAAAAAAACTAATAACATTTTTACGTTCGAACTAATATTGCAAGAGATATTTCGATTTTTTGTATGATATTTTGAAAACATGAAGGAATTAATTAATGCTGTTAATGATTAAAAGAAGAATCAGACTAATCGTAAGATACCGTAGTTATATTTATTATATTAATATTTTTAAATAAGATGGAAATAAAACAGACAATGATGAATGTATATAGAGAAAAAGGGATTTTATGTCAAAAGGAATAAGAAAAATATAAATTTTATATTAATTTTTATCAGTTGTCGATAAAATTATAACTCACTTTATTAATATACGATAAATGATGTAATGAAAAAGAATAAGCATAAACTCTGTTATACCGACAGGAATATTACCTCACGTAGATCGAAAATTATTTGGCATCTTCACCGTCACGTTTGAAATTAGGCGCTTTCAAGCGTACAGTTTGGGAACGTGGCCATTTAGAAAGTTAGAAAGAAAGATAGTGCGTATAGAATAGTGTGGAATTAAACATTATGAAGAAAAATCGACCACAAGATCCAAAAACGAGAAGTAGCGAGAGCATCATAAAAAGTACGTCCCGTTTTGTATATCCATAATTAAAATTTTAAGAATACGATATAAAAAAAAAAAAACTAATAACATTTTTACGCTCGAACTAATATTGCAAGAGATATTGCGATTTTTTGTATGATATTTTGAAAACATGAAGGAATTAATTAATGCTGTTAATGATTAAAAGAAGAATCAGACTAATCGTAAGATACCGTAGTTATATTTATTATATTAATATTTTTAAATAAGATGGAAATAAAACAGACAATGATGAATGTATATAGAGAAAAAGGGATTTTATGTCAAAAGGAATAAGAAAAATATAAATTTTATATTAATTTTTATCAGTTGTCGATAAAATTATAACTCACTTTATTAATATACGATAAATGATGTAATGAAAAAGAATAAGCATAAACTCTGTTATACCGACAGGAATATTACCTCACGTAGATCGAAAATTATTTGGCATCTTCACCGTCACGTTTGAAATTAGGCGCTTTCAAGCGTACAGTTTGGGAACGTGGCCATTTAGAAAGTTAGAAAGAAAGATAGTGCGTATAGAATAGTGTGGAATTAAACATTATGAAGAAAAATCGACCACAAGATCCAAAAACGAGAAGTAGCGAGAGCATCATAAAAAGTACGTCCCGTTTTGTATATCCATAATTAAAATTTTAAGAATACATCTCGATCTTTGGCTTTTCCGAGATATTATTTCTTCCAATTATTTTTCAGATGAAAAAAATCACGATATATAAGATACGAAACATTATCAAAATTTATACTCGTAAAATAATATTATATTAAAGGAGTCAAAGATCCGTTGTATTAAAGAAGTTAAAAGAGAGCTGTATAAAGATCGTAGCATTTTAATAATTGAATATTCCGTAAATATACATATATAAGAAAGAACCTATAGACACAATCGCTGATTTAAATTCTCACCATTTCGTCGTCATAATAATGGTTTATTGTTGAAGTGATATAGTTATAATGATCCGTAACGCGTTTAACTACAATGATAGGTCTTTTTATCTAATACAGTCGTGTTTATACATGGATTATACAATATTTACAGTAACTCAAGATCGTACAAGCGATATCTTCTCTTTCGGACAATGCCAGGCTGATGGCTAATCGGGGATCATTTCTCTCGCACATTTCATACGTACGTGTAAATGTATTTATACGGCGTACACATACGAGAGTATGACGTATGCGCGCCTCTTAAATGCATGTCGATCGTTACATTACGAAAATTTTGGTAATACACACTTAAGATGTACATCGACTGTTCGGCTACTCACTTTGCTATATTTATGGACCATTTATTCGCCACGCATTCGCTATTTACAATACAATTTTATTCATGATGCTCGCGAAAGGCCGAGCCTTTGACACTTTTTCGAGANAAAGAGATATTACAGTTTGTTTCGCAGGGATCTTTGTAATATCTTACGTATACAGTCGCGAAACATATAAGGTGGCGGAACGATCTTCGCGTTCTCGAAAGATTGTTTCGTCCCCCTCCCCCCGTTTCCCATTCGGATTCTAGATTATTACGACGGAAAGATGTGTGTATATTATTATTTTTCAATTATTTCGAAATATACAAATTCATAAAAAGTCGTGTACGACACTGTAAAATAATTAGAGTGATTGGCTATAGTTAAAAATTAGGGGTCAATAAGATCGATCGTCGAAATGTTTGATAATTCGCACATCGAACTTGCACTTCTCTTTTCTCATCTATATACGAATAATTTACACCGTCGCTATTATTAGTAATCACTTTTACACATCGAAGACGAATATTATCCGGCGATATATTCCTTAGCCTTTTTCTAGTATGTCTTCTTCTTTCGAACGTAAAAATATAATCTGGTTTGATAAGTACAAAACGTCGATATGCTTCGATGCGTTAGGTTCAATCGCTCTTTATCCTTGGTCGAGTCAAGCTACCTCGACGATTACGGAATTCGCAAGTTTCTCGGTATCATTTTCCGCGGATGAACGACCACATATTGCGCACTAGTGATAAACAGCTATTAGCGATTTTGATTTTTAACGAAGGCGACACACCTCCAAAAGAAACGGTAGATTGTTAATCTCGTCTCGTTTTTTTCACTTTTTTTTTTATTTTTCGTAACATTACGCAATGAGAGACGCTTAATCGATGCGAAAGTTGATCGATGGATCCTTCTGGGATCTTCTCTGTCACTAACGAGAAAAATTAGATAAAATATTCTATCGCGACAAAGTATTCACTGTAGACGAGTGTGTGTTCAGTTGCACGCACTATGTAATATTCGCTTCAAACTACAGGTAGATTGTGTAGTTTTCGTCTTAAAAAGGATGACATACATAGAAGCCGTTACACGAGTATTAATTTATATGTACATACACATGTAGGATTGATTACGTAAAACTCTAATCCATGTCAGTCATACTGATCACGATATCATTTGATATACACGCAGATTTTCCATGAATTTCAGAGAAGAGTATAAAATGTCTAGATGGCTATGCTTTTACGGAAAGATTATTCGAAAGTAAAATCGGTTAGCGCGCTTTAAATGGTAATAAATAATTCTTTACGAATGTATATATAAAATTATACTACACAAGTATTTTTTCCCGAATATATGTAAATTTAGTTATTCGTTTTTACGCGGTATAATACTTGATCATTCCACATCAAATCTCACCAAATATTTCATTTATAAAATTTTATAAGGAATGAAATTGTATGTAAAAGAATTTCGTTTTTTTGCCTCTGCCAATGCAGAAAATAATTTTAAAATTCAGTGAGTTTATTAACGAAAGCCGTATAATCTTTTTGTATATCTATATTTGACGATATACTACTTTTCTAAGAAAAAATATTTGTTTCGTGTGTTACATGCAGTTTTATTACACCCATTTGGTATTACTTATGTAAAGAATTACATTCTTTACGCAGATTTACATTCTTTATACGGTAGATGTACATAGACGATAGATACCAGAATCGAAACTCCGCGCGCGCGCGAAAAAAGTGAGTAATAAATAAATCATAAATTATTACACATGTTGCAAATGTATGGTACATACGTTTCATTGGCGATGCTTCGATCGTTCGGTATAATCGATTTAATATATAACGATATAGATGATAATGATTTTATACTAGTATATCAAGTTACTACTGGCTATTTTCAGCGTGTTGACGTCTGATAAAAGAGTTGAATACGCGCAATCAAGTAAGGTAAAAAAAATGCTTTGTTACGTATATATACATACATCATACCGTTTAAGTATGTCGAATGTCGTAGTATAATGTATCAGTATTTTTTACTTACATGACATATCTACTAAAAAATCACAGATCAAAGATTAATAATTAAAATTCTTCTATAAATTAATATTAAATCATAATTAACTTTTTTATATAATATAATTACATTCACATAAAAAAAAATATATTAAAACATAGCCAATGATAGTCTCTCTCATATTAATATATATTAATAAACTTGTTTTAAGTTATATTCGCAAAAAATAAAGAGTAACAAAAAATAAATGAGTTTTTAAAAGTTGCTTTTGACGCTGCGACCAATTGCAATTTTGTCTTTCTCTTCTTTGTAAAAATGAATAATGTTATATAGGCGTTATATAAATATTATGGGCGATGCACGATACAATTATATTTACAACGACAACGCAAACATCGCCGATGACGTACAGTGAAGGATGGACATCTAATTAGTAATAATACTAAGTATTATTAATTAGTCACACTTAGCTCTCGAGGCGCTCGCCGACACTTGCAACACACCGCATGTCGTATCTTCTGTATATGTCCATCCATGCGCGTGTGTGTAGAAACGTATAATAAATTTATATTATCATTATTATAATACTATGATACAAGATATAAGTACATTGGTTTAGTGATTGCAGGCTGCTCCTCTCATATCACAGCGAGGGGCGCTGCCGGGCCCGCCTCCTAAATTACACTTATATTCTATCGTTTTCGCATTTGTTCTGTTCCAATTTCTCTTTTTTATCAAACACGCACATACACTCATAACAAACGGAAGCAACACATATACAATCGCGCGTGTATATAATTCACACATTCAATTCACACTTCCTGTCGTACCAATATAATATTTTGCGTAATAATATATATATAATTTTTATGTGTATGTATATATTTATAACGTAGCCTTAGATGACCCGGAGAGAGGTGACCATCGCTATCGCGAATGGACGGTCAAATTATGTCAGGGAGACCCGTTAAGACGCGACGCCACGTGTCTTGCGGCTCCAATACGCTAATGCTCGCTTTTTTCGCGAGCCGAGCTCAGTCTAGGCGCCGTGTCTAGCGCGGGGATTCCCCCGAATCCCGTACGAAGAGATTCGACGTCCAGAATCGTACATATGTTACATACGTACGTATATTAACGTGGCTCGATCGCATATGCGCGCGGGATCAATATTTAAGCCGTCGCCGGCACGCATCAACGGCCGGCGGGCGATGTGACATTCCGACTTGAATAAACAATGATAAACGTGATGACGCGATTGAGTCACGCGAATCGAAAGATTCCGAATCGAGATGAAAAATTCTCGGTATCGTAACTTACTCGGGAGCCGTATCGACGGATCGATCTAATTCATCTATCGACCCCTACTTTATGCATTAAGACTAGCGCGATAATAGGAACATGGTGTCCTCGTTTGTAGATACTAGGATCACTACCGGAAGGAGTGAGATGATGGAGAAGAGAGGGGCATAGGGATATGTCGTTACTCGCGTATGTGAGGAAATACCAAGTAAATCGATTATATCAGTCCTTAGAAGATTGTCCTCCGTTTTGAAATGCACGGAAACACCATATAGAAAAGATAGTCGCGTCGCATTGTGACCCCTCCGATCGGGATTCGCCGGGGATCACTGTCGCAAGACCGGAAACCGCTGCTTCTACTCCGGACGAGCCCGTTTCATTTTTCGCGGATCGCGTGGATGCTGCGGAACCGATACAGGTCGACGGGAAACTTTCGCCGATTGGGACGGAGGGACGGGGGTCCAAGATTGCTCGCAGTTTACATGTCATTAGCATTCGCTCACCACGCGAAGAATCTTCTTTGTTCTCTAAATTGATTCAGTCTGGAAGAATTCTCTCGCGAATCGTGATTATACGCTCAGCCTCTTATTACTCGGCAGAGATTCGGCCACCGTGAATAAATGGTCGCGTCTTCCTTCGTATGGCTAGATGGGAAGATATGTATTCGTTAAGTTTCACGCGGCTAATCCTTCTCCCCTCGTCGGTGGCGGTGGTAGACGGGCGGCGGTGGGTGGCGTGGCGTCGTTCTCGGTTCTGCTCGGTGTCTCTCGGTCGAAATGATGCTGAAGA